CAATTCGGAAAGATAGGCTCGGTGGGCGTCATTGTGAAGAGGGTGGAGGAGGTCGTGAATTTTTTTATGAACCAGTAGAAAGTGAGGGACTTGCTCCTCGTCAATTCTCAAGGAGCAATTTTTGTGAGGCCGGATGTGACCAGATTTGCCACCAATTTCATCATGCTGGACAGCATGCAGGACTTGCACTTGCCGCTGCGAACATGTTTGATGGAGAAAGAGTGGAAGGAAAGCATTGTGCTTCCCTTGCAGTGGCATTTGTTTCATGCTGCGATGGCGACCATCCTGGACAACGACTTCTGGGCAGGAGTCAAGAAGGTCCAGAAGACATCTGAGAAGCTCATTGGTTTGTTGAAGCTGAGTGACGAAGTTGGCCTTGCGATCAGCAAGATGTATGGGTGTGTGAATGGGGTTGTGGAGAGCTTAGGCAGCGAGAATTGCTTCACATAAGCAGAGGAGGAGCTTGAGGAGATCATCATACAGAGGTGGAACACGATGACTTCTCCGCTGCATTGCGCTGCAATGTTCCTCGATCCTGAGCTCAGGGACGAGCGTGGACAAGGATCCAGAGGTGATGGACGGATTCTGGACATGGCTGTACTGGGCATAACTGTCGGCATATCGGGAGTTGGATGAGGAGGTAAATTGGTGGATTGAAGGCACGGGCAAGTTCAAAAAGCGAGAGGGCTCTTGCAGACACGCGCAGTGGCCAGCCAGCTAGATGGTGGAGGAAGTGGTGCTGCGAGATGCCCAGCTCGCAGTGCCAGGCAATCCGTTTGCTTGGACAGGGTTCCTCTGCCTCTGGGTGTGAGCGGAATTGGAGTCTCTTCGAAAGGATTCACTCCAAAACGTGGTCAGGGGTCCTCTGCCTCTGGGTGTGAGCGGAATTTGAGTCTCTTCCAAAGGATTCACTCCAAAACACAGAACAGTCTAGGTGTCGAACAATTGAGTAGACTGGTGTACAACAGATGGAACCAGCATCTGTTGGACAATCGAGAGAAGAAGCCTGATGAAAAGGAGGCGGGCAAAGAAGAAGCAGCAATGGAGAAACGGGGTCGGGGACTTGACGGCAGACTAGAGGGTGGAGGACTGGAGAGGCAGGCTGTGTAGGGAAAAAAGGGAGGAGGGAGAGGATGGAGAGGAAGAAGAAGATGACTACGACGATGATGGCAAGCCCCGTTGCACGCCAGCGGGCCAGATGCAGCTTCCCTGAGCTCGAAAGGGAGCTCAACAAGGAGAATACGGCCTTCCAAGTACCTCACCTGCTTGCATTTGGAGGAATATCAGCCTGCAGGCAAGACTGTGACATCTGCGCACGCTAAGAAGTATATCAATACGCGAGCTGGAGTGTGCGCACCGAATGTGAAGGCGCCTGCGAAGAGGCCACCCGGGCGACCGCGGAATGTGCCACATGCGCAGGACACTGAAGCTGTCATGGTGCCGACGGTGGAAGATGCAGAGGCATCTCAGTGGGGGATAAAACAGGATGCTGTTGGCAAGGTGTCAATGAAGGTGCCTGCAAAGAGACCCAAGGGCGACCAAGGAAGGTGTCGTGGGAAGAGGAGATGCAGGTGGAGGCGAAGAGGACTTGGAGGTGGAGGCGAGGCAGCCCGGGGAACAGGGCGAATCATCTCGGAAGGGGAGTCCCGAAGCTGAAAAGTGGGAGGAAAATATGGAAGAACAGGAGGACAGCAGCACAGAAGAATCGTCAGAAGCTTTGGGCGCTGATTCTGAAGATGAGCCCCTTGCTAAAAAAAGTGCATGGAGAGAAGAGAGAGAGAGAGAGAGAGAGAGAGAGAGAGAGAGAGAGAGATTAAGTTATCAGAACTTCTTTGAAGTTCTTTGAGCTGTTATGTGCATGGAAGTCCCATAGTTTAGTCTTTGGGACTGTTCTCTGCAGTTTTATTTGATTTGATGATTTGAAATCGTCGTAGAGTTGTGCCTTTGTATGTTTGTGTTGTTGATCTCCTGGCGTACAACGTGGATGCGGCCTGGAGGTACGTTGAATATCGCACTGACGACCAGATAGTCGTGTACCAAGCAGAAAACACAATGCACCGAGATACAAGACAAATCAGAGCAATAAAATGAACTCGGATGTCAATGTCGACACTCTCTCGCCACACCAACATAGAATCCAATGTCGCCCTTCTTGATTGGCGCTCAGCACCCAGCCTATCCTACTCAGCACATAAGCTAGCCTACAGCTGCGACATGCAACAGGATCACTTCAAGCTGAAGACCAATGTACGTGACGACGTCAATACAGACTGCCAGCATACACCGGGTGTGTGTCTCTTTGCCCCTTGACCTCACCCCCCTTCGCACCCACTATGTGCCTTCTCTCTCCCGAAGACCGCCATCGGCCACACCAGCCTGCGCCCAAGCAGCCTGGCTATGGCCGCCGTGCGCCCACAGCCCAGCTGCACCCTCGACCTCTTCTGCGCCCATGTGAGCCTCACTCCCCAGCGGCCCTCTAGTGCTTTGATCCACCAGCGCTGCCCCGTGAGCTCCCAGGCCAGAATGTACTGCGGCTGGGCAAGGCACTTTCCTAAATGGAAAGTGCAGCCCTGCTGTGGACTGCCTGGGCCTGGCGTATCGATGCTCACGTTGGGACAAAGTGTCTGCACCTGGGCCTACTCAGACAGTTGGCTGGGCCCGCAGCAGTTAAACTGCCCAACTGTGCGACGTGGCTGCTGCCACTCGCTGCATTCCCATTCGCCTACGGGCCTCCAGCCACGTCGCTGCCTTGAATCTCATTGGCCCAGAGCCTCTGGCCGCCGTAGCCTGAAACCCTTGGATCGTTCAAGCCTAACGTGACAATCCAGAACAAAGCGCAGTTTTGACGTGCAAATTTTCCTCGCTCTTCTATTTTCTTTTCTTTTTCTTTCTTCAATTCTCTTCTCACTTGACTGTGACAGCTGCGTACCTAAACCCATAACTCGCCTGGAGGGTACTCGGCGCGCGGTAGAAAAGCCCGCACCGATCCCTCTACCTCCGCGTCCCTGGGCGAGCCCGGCGGCTACCCTGGCCACAGGCCGGTAGTGCTCTGCTGTACAGCAGGGCACCGAGCCAGCGTGGACCAATGGGAAGTCCAGTGGCGCATCCCCTTCTTTTGCCAGGGCAAGCGCCGGCTGGACCGGTCCACAGCAGAGTACAATCTGTGTATGCCCAGTACGTCTCAGAGGTCCATAGGCAGGAAGCTTGGTAAACCAAGGGGGTTCCCAGAGGCTCAGCATGTTGTGCTCACACAGGCAACACCTTGTAACCACCTGGCGCGTGGAAATTGTATGGCGCCCCAAAATGCAGAAATGATGAAATCATGAAAATAAGGCCTCATGGCCAAATGCAGGCCCGCCTTCACTTAGGGCGGGCACGATGCAGACTGGGGGCCCCTTGGGCTGTCGGGTGCCGCAGACTAGGGGACACTGCGATGGCTGATTCCTCGCACGCTGTTGTTGATCAACTTCACTGTGTGTGTGTGTGTGTGTGTGTGTGTGTGTGTGTGTGTGTGTGTGTGTGTGTGTGTTTTGTAGTGTGTGTGTGTTTTGTAGTGTGTGTGTGTGTGTGTGTGTG